ATGTAATAAAAAATTGAAAAATTAAAAATTGTCTAAGGCCACACCATAGGTGACAAGCTAGGTGAGTAGTGACAAGGAGAGTCGCTTGGTGAGTCACCCAAGAAAACTCAAGCGGGTCTGTTTTTTACCTGGTGGGTTTCTGATCGTTTCATGATGGACGAGGTTATTATTTCCGCAGTTTTTAAAAGACTGCTTTATGGAATCCAAATGAGGATCTCTACAAAAACCCCAACTATGGAATTGTCCCTACAGAACTTTGAATTCACCTTCCAACATTCTTCGCCGATTGATGTCATGCACGCAGGACCTCGATTTGTATCCTAATAAATTATATTTCAATTTAGTATTTTAGGAAAGAAATAGTTTTCTAGTTAATTTAGAGAGAGACATTTCCCAGCACTTCCTTACACAAAGCACAACTAACGTCATCCTGGTGTGACCACTTGTAACCTGCCACCAAGTAACCGGCGGTTCACGTTGTTACTAAGCACCTAGCTTTTCACCTCCGGTGTGGCCTTAGCCAGGAGTAATAGAAAGGCCAATCTCATTTGCTATTTCAACGAAAGCAGGTTTTTCAACACGTGTAGTAGATCTAGTCGGCTTTCCCGAGACATTTCCACTCAGACCCTTTTGAATTTTACATCGTACGGTTCTACCCCGTACAATTTCCTTATATTCCGATTGCACGTTTGTTCCATTATACATACAACATCCTGATCAAAGTTTCAAAGGTCGATTTTCATGTTTCCCTCTGAATCAAATAAGGCCGTCGCTTAAAATCAACGGGTGGACTGTTTGGCGTAATTAAAAGCTTAACAGTCAATGGAATTTAATAAAGAACGGAAAAAACAAAATTCCCAGAGATATGTGCCGATAAATTTCTACTGTCATTTATTGCAGCGTTTTAAAGTGAAATTAATTCAATACACCGTGAAAACCAGTTTTCAATGCACCTAACAAATACTGGCCAAATATCTTAACAATAAAATAAATACTATTATAATAATTAGAAACGGTGAGCATTATCAAGCATTATTCAGAAATCAGATGGAGTTACATGCTGCGACGCAATCTGGGAACTAAGCAGGGCGTAGCAATTTTTTAATTTTTAGATGTTTTTTTTATGATTTTTAATATTAAAGGGAAAATAATTCAGCATACTCCAAAAAAGTATTTTCATGTCACCTAAAAATTTAATAATCTGTTTATTAGCCTTTCTTCCCGCAATGTCCAAATTCCTAGAACGACTCCCTTTAAAACGCTAATACCAATCCTTGACACCTATAAAATCAGTGCCATCCACCAATTCGGTTTCTATCCTCAACATTCCACTAGCTATTCAAGTTTTAAGCGCTTCCTATTTCATTATTACCTTTTATTGAAATCCTACCTGTTTGCTGTTTCAGAGTGAGGTGCGCCATGAGTACTCGGAAATCAAACAGATACAGGCCGGCGTAGCGGAAGTATCCTTGGACCAATCCTTGACATCATTTATACTGACCTACCAGTACATCCTGAAACTATTATCATCACCTACGCGGACGACACCGCAATCCTATCCTCTAATTCGAATGCGGTCTAAACTACCTCCAACATCCAGGAACACCTGGAGCGAACTCCTAACCAGCGAGTCCTAACCATAATGCGCGAGCCCTCTCCACTCATTACCATCCTGACAACGCGCCACGACGCCTAAACCGACGGTGGCCTCGGAACCTCCGTGACATCTAATCATACACACTGAGTGCTCCTCAAAGCATATGTTCTACGGGTGCAGTCCTGGCATTAGTGCTAGTGTTGTGCTGTATGATACATTAATGATGTGCACATATATGTATAATGAGTGGTGGTTAGTGACCGTTAGTCAATGATTATTCGGAGATCGTGAGATACGGTCTGGTATGACGTAGGTTTTAGAAGGAATTTAACTTTCATTTCCCTAATGATCCTCGTCCTGAAAGGATAATCAGGCCGGACAATTACCAACGTTTTTTCCTATCGTCGGCACTTTTCACCTAAAAGAAACCGACTCNCATAACCTCCTGACGTTTCAGTCTTGTGTGAGGATTCCACGTCAGGCGTTTGTCGATGTACAGTCCGAGGTACCGCACCTTGTCCGCAGTTGGGAGGGGAATATTGTTTAAGAAAACAGGGGGGGGGGATCTTTTTACGAAGAGTGAAGTAAATGTGGGTGGATTTGTCTGCGTTAAATTTTATCCTTTTCTTTTTACACCAAGACTCTAGTAGTATGAGGTGTTGGAGGTTTCGAGTAGAAATGACAAGGTCGGAGGTGCTAGAGAGAGTTGCCGTATCGTCTGCAAATGTGAATGTGGTGGTTTCGGGATGAGATGGCATGTCAGCTGTAACTGGTACAGTGTAGGGGCCAAAACGCTACCCTGAGGAACACCAGCATGGAACCCTCATTGTTATTAATAACAATTTATTCTTAAACTTACTGATTTTTGTTTTGAAAAGACTGTAACATGGCCACCCCAGCCTTCCCAAAAACTAATCAAACCGTAGGCGTTGGCCTGTCAGAAAGCTGAAAACCCTCAAATTGATTATATATATATAATAAAAACAACCTCACCGCGATTTGCAAAAGAAGAGCTAGAGTTTGTTCTTCGATTGTCGGGAGAAGGCCGTGGGTCGGTTACAATCTGGGTTATAAGCAGGGCGTGGCGAATTGTACTAATGTGAAACGCGAACACTTCCAGAATTGATTTTTTTTCTATGAAACAATAGTGTATAAAAAGTTGATTTTTAACTTCTGTCCAAGATAAAAATGAAAAACAGCCTCATTCCTACTGCATCTTGACTATTTTAGGAACCGATCTTGCTAAATAGATCGTTTTAGATACTTGGCCATTTTCAAAATATTACTTCACTTGTGTTGATTCTTTTCTTAAACGCCTTTTTTTCAAATTTAATGGAGTCGTTGAAACGCTGTTAGGATTGAGCATTGATAAATCATGATCTAATCATTGACGGATGTTTCTTTCTCGTACATGGTAGCCGCTAAAATTGGCATCTGTCCCAATTCTGACCGAGTGATAACTTCGGAATCACGGTTCACACCCTCCTGTAGATGATATGGACTTACGGAGCTTCTTATACCTCGATATATTGTGTTCCATTTTCCGTCAGAGCTTTTTTGCGGCTTTCCTCACCAAGTAGCAGAACCTACACCCGTATAGATCATCACGTTTACTAACAATGGGCACCACGGTCTTTTTTCTTCGCAAAATATGCAAAATGTGTTTTCAACCTATCTTATTTGAATGTGTCCAATTAGGACAGTTTTATTTTGGCTCCAGTAATTATTCTGTATTTTTTTAATATTTTTTTTACGAGGGTGCGCAGAAGCAGAGGTCATATAAACCCTCAGGTTGCCGGTGTTTTTGAAAAAAAGGCCATTTGTAAGTATGTCGGATTCGAATGCAGGGTCGCTGGATTCGAACCCGGGACCTTTACCTTACAGTGATGAGCGCCGTGTCATCGCCTAAACCGTTGCGTTCACCGACGCCCATAACCTCATCTGTTGGTTTTGCATTTGGTATATCTATGATTCCCAACCTCATCCCTGGCGTGTTAATTCACAAGGATTTTGGACTCTTTAAGACTACATTTTTTAATGTTATCCGTTTAGTGGAAACTAAGGCTTAAGTTGAGGCTATGATTCCACTTATGGCTAGAATCGTCTTATGGCCTGGTAGTTCAGAGAACCCAGGAAACCAGAGATTAATTCATTATTGTCATTGACTTCTAAATCAACTACAGGCACGTTGTGATTTAACACGAAGTGCTGCCTGAGTATTAAAGAGGTCTAGAGATAGGGATAACATGAGGGGGCCACATCTGCAGCTCTACCTGAGTAGATCTATGGTGTTCCTCTATTTTTATAACTCACTAGCCAGCTTCAGGTTGTTAATCAACCTACATAGCCTTGGTGTGGATGGACCTCTTATCCGTGGCAACCAAATCAATGGTGTGTCATTATTTAGGAGGAGAACACTGCAGTTAGGAATAAAATTAAATATGAGAAAATTTTCATATTTTAAAAGTAATATTTTTGACGATATGGTAAAATGTAAGGGTATGGTAGAAATTTCAATTTTACTGAAAAGAGAAAGAGTCTATTGAAAAAATTATGAACTAACGACAATGGTTGAAAGGATTGAGAGCCTAATTGCGTTTCTTGAATTCTCCAAGGGCGAGGAGTGGAAAGAGTGGCGGAGGTTGTTCAGTCCGAGTCAGAAAAATTTCTTCTTCATCACCCCAAAAGGCACTTCATTACCCCAATAAGCTTTCATCTTTTAATATCCGACTCCCTGGCCGTCCTTATTTCTCTCTGGCACAAAGGCTTTCAATCATAGAGGCCCGTACACGGTCTGAATCACCTGGAGATTCCTTTGTTAAAAGGATTACGTCGCCCCTTTTTTCCTCTTTCTCTATTTTCTTGAGGTTTTATACGACATTCCAACAAGTAATAGAGGCCTTTCCCAGTCGGAAAGGGTGGAATTTCCTTTTGTCAGTCCGAATGATGATAGTGTTTCGTCCAATAATCACACATCGCATACCGAAAAATATTGACTATATGTCATCCATGTCATTTCACTACCGCCTCAAATTATATTTTTAACCTGTATTTACCATCAGGGTCTGGGGAAATAAGACTTGGAGTATGAGTGAAAAAAAACACCAAATGATGCTTTATAAACCATCCTTTGATTTTACTTTTTTTAAAGCCACTTTTATCGTCGTTACTGAGCGGAAAAGCTACCTCTCATTTTAATCATCCGGCTTTCATTTATGTTTTTAATAAATAAACTGGCCTTTTTATAGAAACGTAAGTGGAACAACACATCTATCTTTTATTTTATCAAGAAGCTTTTCAATTTTGTTGTTATCAAATGAGAATATCTTTATGATTTCAAAATTATACTTTTAAATAAAGTTTGTTAAAATTATCAAAGTCAACGTATTCATTTTTTTTTCAGATGAAATCGATAATTGGTTCAATTGGCTCAACTTCTGACAAGGTATCGTTCGCAACATTCGAATCTATCGATCACGTTTTTTTAAGTTATTGATCAGAGCGTTCTGGAGTTTGTGGAGGACCATTTTTAATTTGAAGAAATGATCTTAAAAAAACCGCGATAGATCATAAAGGCAGTAAATTTTAACCTGTCTGCAACTGAAGGGTTGTCTCTCGTGGCCCTTGGAACTGATCCTCCAAAATTTCTTCCTCTTCTGGTCTGTCCTCGTTCTGTTCATAAAAGGTCGAGGTTTTGTCGCTGACACTGAAGGTTTTTTAATATCAGGCAAATCAATGATAAAGTTATGAGAAAATGAAAGGTAATAAACGCCCAAAGAAAAACCTTTTGATGTTTCTGCCATAAAATCACATCTAAAAGTAATTATAAAATTTTTATTTTTAAGGCAAAGGTTTATCGATAATCAATATGGATGGAATGGGGTGAAGGGGAAGCTGTTTTAATATCCTCTCTCTCTCTTTCTCACTCTCTCTCTATCGCTATCTCTTTTTCTAAAAATGTCTCATAGGGCCGTCGGTGGAGGCGTAAAGGTCCCGGGTTCGAATCCAGCGGCCCTGGATTCGAAACCGACATTCTTACAATTGGGGGGGGGGAACATCGACTCCCCGAGGGTTCAGATAACCTCGTAGTTGAAATACCTCCGTTAAAAAATAAAATAAAAATAAATAAAAGATGGAGCAAAAATAAAGTTAGAAAGAGTTTTCCTTCAGGACTCAATAATTTCAATTTATCGTGTAACTAGTTAAAAAAAAAAGTTGAAAACTTACTTTTTGTCTAATTTTACCTAACTTTAGACAACTACAATCAGTAGGGGGGCGTAGGTGGCCGCAACGGTTTAGGCGTTGACGCGGCGCTCATCACTGAAAGGTGGAGGTCCCGGGTTCGAATCCAGCGGCCTTGCAGTCGAACGCGACCTATTTACAAATGGGCTTTTTTATTCAAAAACATTGGCACCCTGATGGTTTATATGCGAACCCTCGAAAAAAACTACAATCAGTAACACCATAAACTGAAATTATTGAGTTCTGAAGGAAAACTTTAATATCCCCAGAACGAACAGATAAATTTTCTGATACTTTTTCCTAGAACAGAAGGGACTTTCAATGTGTTTGAAAATAAGCACCGATTCGTTCGAAGATACTTTACGTTACGAGTTTTACTTCAAGACTCGATAATTTCAATTTATTGGTTGAAAATTTGTTAACATTAGTTAAAAAAAGGGGGAAAACTGAAAATTAAATAGAATTACGCATGCAAATTTAATTGTTGACTTTTTTAAACCTAACTTTAAATCGAAACCATCATGATAAATTAAAATTATCGAGTTCTTTAAAAAGAACTTCACTGTCTTCAGAACGGATCAAAGAATTTCTTTCTGGTATCTTCTTTTAGAATGATAAGGATTTTCAAAATGTTTCAAAAAAGGATGATAACATTTGGAAAAAAAGGTTTATTGCTTTCACACAGATTATTGCTATTTATGCAATAACTCGATACAACAAATTCATAAAAAGATGTAGTTTTGAAATCCGAAATAAAAGTCTCGTTAAAAAAAAGTTACGTAGGGAGTTTTTTATGTCATAAACAACGATCCAAAAAGATGAATCAAAATTAAGGAAACTAGAGGAAGTGGACACCCATATATATATATATATATATATAGATGGAGAGTTGGTGTCCGAGAGGATCGAAGTCACGATAGCTCAAGTGGTAGAGCGAGGAAGATCGTGGGTTCGAATCCCGCTCGTGTCACTTTTTTATAGACTTTTTATCTCACCAAGACCTTACATAGAAAGAATAATTAATTGATTGAAAGAGTTAATAAATATGTTATGTATTATTTTACAATAATGATAAGATTATTGAATCGTGTGTCTTTTTATACAGTTTAATCAATGATAACTATCATAAAATCACTCAGAATATTTTAAGCTTTTTGTTTAAATGCCCTTCGATATTATATGATAGCATAAACGTTATGTGCTCTGGTGTGAACTATAAATCATATGTCGTACACCGGGAGGAACGAGACATTTCCAAAGATTCGTAAAGCGTGTAAGGCTTTTATTCTGTTCAAGGGATACATTATTTATCAGGTGTTTGAAAGCGACTTGGGTTAAGTCGAGCGGTGATAAATTCATAGAGTGGAAATCGTCTCGGTAAAAGTCTTTTGTTTGCAGACTTGTACCTCTTTACAGCTTTCGCTTAAACGGTTCGCCACTTGATAAGTATTGTTCGAGAAAACTGGGTAAAATTTTTATTAAAAAAAGTCTTCGAACACGCTTTTCCAGAATCAGTTTCAATTTTCCGTTTCACGAGCTGGGCGAACGAATCACTTTCCCGGACTGAATCTAATATTTAATTTAAGTTCCGGTCTTAGTCGAAAACCTGACCCACAGCTGAGTCGATCAGCCAATTTGTATTACGGAGTTGTTGCTATATCGCTTCCGTAGAACTTCGGGACTGCTTGGACAACAAAGTTGGCACTGTATTGCCTCGTAATAACTTCTCGAGTTAGTGGAACTTGTTATATTTAGATTTTCTAACTTCGAAACCCCCTTTGACGCTTGAAAGGCAGTAAATTTTAGATGACATTATCTCTGCCTTGGTTATCTTAGACATAGATATTATTGCACATAGACCATATTTACCAAAGTCAGTAATAAAAGAAAGTCCTAGATATCAGACTAACAATATGGGACGTGGGATCCATGAATGAAACTTTATTTGGTGAAATTGGGTCGAAAAATATAAGACATATGTCCTTGTATCCTTACGAATGGACCCTAGGGGCCGAGGAAAAAAGTCTTGTTGCTAATTTTTCAACTTTTGTTCTGCGTATATCTCAAGGATATTATATATCAGTCGAATTTATATAGCGTAAGAATATAATAGAGAGTATAGTAATAAATGGTATTAAATATTTAAAAAATGGATATGGGATCATCGATGATCTCTGATGATGGTGTTACTGAAAAATATAAGACGCATGTCCTAGTATCCTTAACAATGAGACAGAGGAAAAAAAATATCGTGGCTAGTTTTTCAACTTATGTTGCGTTTATATTTCATGGTTATTATACATCAGTCGAATTTATAAAGTGTGAGAAAATAATAAAGAGGATAGCAATAATAAATAAATAATAGTAATTAATATTTAAAAAGTTGGCGTGGAATCACTGATGATGGTGAACTGGCTCGAACAATATTACTTATGGTTCCTACTCACAGTAAGTTGTTTTGCAACGATCCGGATTTCGAGCCTTTTAGCTCATCATCAGGTTGAAGGACTTTTACACCCACGTCTCGACATGAATTGCCAAAGTGAACCCGCTGATACCCCCGCCAACGCGACGTTCCAATTAGCAGTTAATTTTTTTAAGGCGCTCAATTTGAACGTGCGAAACGCCGAAATTTAACACAAATAAATATTATACTAGTAAATACTTAATATTATTAATGGCTATAAAAATAATAATAATTAAAATAATTAGTTTAATTATTTGGATGTTTGATATTTTTTATGTACATATTTAATGGGGGGTAAATCAAAATCTGTTATATTATTAATGCATTTATCACCATGTTCAATTTTACATTTTTTAATTTCAAATTTCTCAAACCAATCTAGTTCTTTCCCTTTGTTGAAACTATGTAACACTCTTGTATTTAAATTTGAATTGAAATTATGTTTTGTTTCTTTTAGATGGTCCTTAAATTCCGAAAATTTGCTCGATTTAGGCAAGTGTTCTTTTACTCTTGTTTTTATTTTTCTACCGCTTTGTCCTATATATTTAATATCACAATCATAACAATTGAGTTGGTAAACCCCGATTTTTGCCAAGTTGTCTACTTTGTCTTTAGGTTTTGAGAGGATGTTTTTAAGTGAACCCGTACTTCTAAAAGCTATTCTAAAACCTTCTTGTTTAAAAATTTTACTAACTTTTTCCGATAATTCACCACCAATTCATTGGCATACAACGGAAACCTAATGATTCATTTGTCGTGGGGTGGCTGAGTCCTATTGTTGATTCGTTTAAAGTTAATTTTTTTATTATTTTAACTAGCAACCTATCAATAAATATTTCTTGATACCCGTTGTTTTTTGCTAACGTTTTAATAGTTTTTATTTCTTTTCTATAGTTATCAGGTGTTAGCGGAAGTTTTAACATCCGTCTATGAGCCAAATGAAACCAGCAGCTTTTTGGGACCATGGGTGGGAAGAATCCGCTGGTATCATAGTGTCTGTAGTTGTGGATTTTCTATATACGTCTATTTCTATTAGGTTGTTTATTATGGACAGTTTTAGGTCTAACAAGTTCAAACAACCATCTTTGCCAATTTATTGTATATAAATTTTACATTGGAAATTGGCGAAGATGGTTGTTTGAACTTCTTAGACCTAAAACAAATAATATACAATACCGAGAGAACTAAGGGTCGATTTATAAAGTTACAAAAACGAAAACCCTATTTAATTTTTTTTTAAGAAATACAATTCGGACTCAATTTAAGCAACTTTTAAAGCCTTTAAATCCGAATTTTCATAAAAATAAAAAATCGCCATTTTTAGGCTGGAGCCACGGGCAACCTTTTCCTCAGATGTTTTCAAACGTTCAGTTCAAAAATTCCTAACTCATCTGAAAGTTATCCAAATTCAATCCTGTTTGCCACGGTTAAATATCTCAAGGTTGTTATTTTCCGCATATGACAATAAGTTTTACATTATTATATATCATATTATAAGTCTATAGTGAGTCATATTACTAGCATAAAATTAACAAAAACTACCCAAATGTAATATATCTCCGGATTCAATTTATCTGAAGAGACAAAATTTCGCTAGGCGGTCACTTGTAGTTTATAGAGTTCGAAACTCCTGTATAATTTCATGTAGATCAGTGCAATCTTTCCAAAGTTATATCCAATGATTTTCGAAAAAATCGGAGACTTTTGAAATTCAAAAAAATATTTTTTAATATTCAAGATTTTTACAAGGAGTATGTTATTATAAATGATTAAAATAAAGATGTAATTAAAATAAAGAAAAATACAAAACTTTTGTTTTATATTTTCGGTTCAATTTTATTTATAGTATCTACCTCTATTATTTTTTTTACGAGGGTTCACAACAGGAGAGCACATATCAACCCTAGGGGAGCCGATATTTTTGAATAAAAAAGCACATTTGTCTCCTTACATGTAGTTTATAGGGTGGCAAACCGTTCAACGTTTCCTTTGCAAGCCATTTATCCAAGGCTATTCAAAATTGTTCTCATATTTGAAAAAAAATTGAAGGTATTTGGAATGCGAACATCTTGAAGAAAAAAATCGATAAAATATTGAAATAATTATGGCAATTTTTTATATTTTTAGAAATCGTGAGATGCGGTCTGGTGTGATGTGGGTTTCAGAAAAACATTTTCTTTATCGTGCCAACGTTTCGATCTTTATTGAGATCATCTTCAGGGCTCAAAGTGTTTGTCTTNAACGTTGGCACGATAAAGAAAATGTTTTTCTGAAACCTACATCACACCAGACCGCATCTCACGATTTCTAAATAAATATCGATTAACGGTCACTAATCACAACACAAAATTATGGCAATGCTGTAAAATTTCATTTGGTTGCTTACTCCGGAATGATTCGTTTTAAACTTCTTTTAAAGCCCTAACTTCTGAATATTTATAGTCCTACAAATTAGACATTTGGGAGTGCATCCACCC